ATATTACATGGCTGCTCAACTGTGTTGAGTTGCTAAACCACACAGAATACTCATCAATCAACCGATAATATTGAAAAGGATTAAAAAAGAGTTAGGTCGGACAATTGGAACACATAGCAAATATGCTAAGAACGGTTCACAGAATCAAAAAAATGAAGGCCAAGATCAATATATGTGGTGATGAAGAATTCCCAAAGACTCTAAGATAATAATTTCTGTCATGGTGTACATCTGCTCTCTCCAACACCCAGCATCTGCAAGAAATTAAATGTAGTGAGAGGGATGCTTCCATTAACTGAAAATTCTCTATCAACAAATTCACCTCTATGTTTTTCCCTCAGGTAAGGTATACATTTCGTATAATTAATAAATTAATTATCAAACTACAGTCGTAGTTTATATTTAACCATTCTTTTTAGAAGTATCAATGTGAAATGGTTAATTATTTTAGAGAAACAAATTTTAAGGTTCTATAGATAACCCAGTCAAATTATACAGCAACTTTTTCCAAATCAACTAATGGGAAGTGACACTTTATATCTTCGAGTTGACACATTTTCACAATTTTCTCAAAAACGGCTAACTATTTTGATCGTAATGTCAATGTAAAATCTATAGATCTTTAATATCAGGCAGGTATTACCCACATTGAAATATTATAACAGATCTTAAATTCCGAACTTCTTCCTCTTAACACAGTCAAATTACCAAAAAAAAAGGGGTCTAGCTTGCAAAAGATCGGTTATTTCAAATTTCTTTTTTATATTGTTAGGTAAAATCTAAGTTTTCAGCTTTGAAAGCCTTGTGGGTTTGCTGCAATGCTCCAAAACCATTTAAATTCAGAGTTTTTTTTTTTGGTTTACACTAAACCTTTGTAATAGCCTTTTAATAGTCCTTTTTAAAGCAACATGGATAAAATATGGTTATATTTAATATTAAACAGTTTAAAATTATTTAACATTTTTGTATATAACATTTATTTCTATATCCAATAAGAAGCGAACTATCAAGCTTTTAAAATTAGTAAAGTTTTGAAAATTCACAAAAAAACATGCATCAGTTATGAACGGAGGAATTCTTCAAATCCATTTCGAATCTTGTCCCGAGTATTTAGAGGTTTTCCTTGAAGATAATGAGCCGGTAGCGCAACTTTTGTATTTGAGGTATTTTGAAAAATGTGTTACATGGTGCCAGACCTCCCCCTATCACGCTTACTTTCCGCACATCCCAATAAATGGCATACAGATGTGTTCCTTATAATTATTTATTTAAAAAAAGCTAATGTTCCCACAAAAAAAAAATGGCTACTCTGTCCCAAAATTGCGTTCAAACATGTCTAATTGACGACTTCAACTCACGGGCGGATCTACGGGGGGGAGGAGGCTTTCGGGCTGAAGCCCCCCCCCCAAAATGGTAAAATATAGCCATGTTTTATCGAAAAAAATATTTAAAAAGTATCTCTTAAAGCATTATTGTTTGTGTAATTACATTTAAAAGGGCTTTAGGAATCACTTAAACACCATTTCATACAGGTAGTTAGTTTCTTTCTTTTTTTCTAAAGTAATTATCGTTATTTTTATGAAAAAAATAGCTTTCGGGCTGAAGCCCCCCCAAAATTAAATCCTGGATCCGCTAGTGCTTTAACTTGAGTTCTTTTTCGATCTTTGAGATTCAGCATTTCGTCATAATTAGCCTTTTATTAAAGATGGATAGTTAGAGAATAATAAAACACGAAAAAATAATTGGCCTTGACAATAAAAAACGAGTAAACTCAATTATTTCAAGATGTTCAAACTTAGTTGAAAATCAAGCGTCATTTGTAAATAAACGGCCAACAATAACGAAAACTCCTCGAAAGAAAACATCTGGAAAATACATTTCTCTTTCTAAAACAATGATTACTTTTTAAAATATTAGAAGCAGTTACATAGAAAATACACATAATCTGCGGAAAAGCGGCACTGCCTAGCGAAAGCGACCTATGTAAAGCGCCTAGAAAAATATAATCAAAAGTAAAATAAAATTCTTATATTACAACTATTACTATGAAATTTATGAGTACTGAATAGTGTGGCACAGGATAAATAATCCACCTTAGGGATTAATTCATCAAATAAGATAAATCATAGTGACATAAAAATAATTAGAAAAACCGAAAGGACTTATTTGCCAACCCAATATCTCGCTTTAAAAAAGGAGATATTTAGCGTAAGCCAAAACAAAGTTCGAAATTTCAATGGTTTTTGGAGCACTCCAGGAAACCCACAAGGCTTTCAAGGGCGGAAACTTGGATTTTTTATATCCACTATATACCTATGCACTAACAATATAAAAAAGAAATTTGAATTACCCGACCTTTTGCAAGCTAGACCCCCCCCTTTTTGTGTGCTAATTTGACTGGGCTAAGAGGAAGAAGTTCGGAATTCAAGACTTGTTATAATATTTCAATGAGGGTAATACCTGCCTGATATTAAAGATTTATAGATTTTACGTTGAGATAAAGATCAAAATAGTTAGAACCGTTTTTGAGAAAATTGTGAAAATGTGTCAAATAGAAGATATAAAGTGCCACTTCCTGTTAGTTGATTTGGACGACAAATTTGCCATTACATCCACCCATATCATACATCTACTTTAAATACCTAATTTCAGTCCCGCAAAGCCTTTTATTTTTGAGCATACACGTACAGGCCCTTTCGCAAAACTTGTTTATTTGGCCTCAGGTGTCCTTTAAACGTGTAGTTTTGTTGAAAAAACGAATTCAGAATTTTCACAGACGTATTTCTTTCTCATAATAAATATATTATATAAAGGTAAGTGAAAGTAATAGAGCACACACGGCTAGATTAATACATCCAAAAGAAAAGGGGGAGAAGCCAGTTAAATTTATTGACATTGACAGGAACCTGCAATATTAAAGAAGTCAAATATTAAAATAGAGTCCTCAAAAATCAAATAGGCGCCTCAATATGATATAAACTAAATATATTTTAATAAAATATTTTATCTTTATAAATAATATAAATAAAACATATTTTGTCTGAGTAGTGCTGTTTTTTTTTCTAAATGCGTCTGGTAAAAATATTAATTTAAGAATATTGGATATCCTTCATACCCTATAATTAAAAAATATACACTAATCTTGCCTCTACATATTGGTGGATCCAGGATTTAATTACTTTGGGAAAAAAGAAAGATACTAACTACCTATATGAAATGGTGTTTAAATGATTCTTGAAATCCTATTAAATGTAATTACACGAACAATAATACTTAATACAATGCAGCAGTGGGTTGTTATGTAACAGTAACATCCCACTGCTGCAAATTAGTGATGGGGCCATATGGCCGGAGCTGTGATTCTATCACTGTGACTGGGCCGGAGCTGGTGATCACAGTGACAGGCCCACCGAAATCACAGTGACAGTCACTGTAGGCGCTGTGAAATCACTGTACGCCAACAGTGACGATCACTGTGCTCCAACAGTGACGGTCACTGTAGGCGCTGTGAAATCACAGGTCTGACCACCCTGCTCCATCACTTTTTTTTCGTTCTAGCAATCTGGGCATTGTTGACTTCAGTAATTTAATAAATGAATTAAAGAAATAATCATTAAATAATTATTTCTAAAATAATAGTTATTCGTCAAATTTTATTAAAAATACTTTTTGAACTTCAGATGAATTGAGCATTCATTGACATATATTTCTGAATGAGTTATGTCTGAAATAATTAACAGGAAGTTTTTCATTTAACTGTTGAAATATAAATAAAAAAATTAATTAAAAATTAAATAAATTCAAATATTCTCTGCAGAGTTGTACACAGAAACCAAAGGATCCCAGAGATATTTTCCCCCATCAAATATAAAATTTATCACAGGAAAAAAAAATATTTTAATATAAGTTTAAACGGGGGAGGGGTGGCCGAATGGGCTAAGGCGTGTGCACATCACCGCGAGTTGCCTGGCAACCGAATTAGAGATTTGAGAAGATTTAAAAAGTACGAGTTCGCGTCCCGGTGCCGGAGGGGATTTTAAATTCCCCGCCCTCACCCCTCGGGTGGCCCGGGAAAATCCCGTATAGCCTAAAAGGCGAGGTAAGGAAGAACAAAAAAAAATAATAATAAAAAAAAATGTATATGTATATATATATATATATATATATATATATATATATATAAGTTTAAACATGTAAACCATAATTTCACAGTGACGCTTTCGCCAAGGAGCCATTGTATAATTGACACCGGAAAAAAATCACTGTAGTGACAAATCACTGTGATTTGTCACAGTGATTTTCCCGGAGCTGTGACAGAAAATCTCTGTCACACCACATCACTACTGCAAATACCTGTATTGCCTTGAGACAGGGGAGGGTTGAAAACAAAATAAAATAAAAATACTTAATACAATTTTTAATTATTTTTTACCATAAAACATGGTTAATTTTTACCAGGTTTCAACCTGAAAGCCCCCTCCCCCTTAGACCCGCCTATGCCTCTACAAGTACTGAGGAATAGTGTACCTCAGCGATACCTAAGCTCCTATCTGCCATTATTTTGAAAAATAAATTTTCTTATTTATTTAATTTTCTTGCATTCAATTTCCATTCTTCATCTAATTACATTAATTATGATTACATATAATGGCTATTTATATTAATAAATTACTTTTATTAAACAGAACAAAGCATGTAGTGCAAGAACTGAAGTGGCTAGTAACACAAATAGATAACTTAATTCTAAATTTTTTTGAAAAAAAAATAAGGAACTCTGTAAAATGCTTGTCATTAATAGAATAACTTTTCAATATGTTGGTCTGCCTCCATTGTAGCTTTTTGTTTTCTTTGCAAATTATATTTTTATTAAATATTTATTTTAGCCATTTTATAAATTTTTCAGAAGTAAACCTTTAAGAAACCGAAATAAAAAATGGATTTTTCTCTTTTTTTTGTTAGTAAAATTAACCTCATATTTTTCTAAACTATTTCCTTAATTTTTTTTAAGTTCCTAAAATATAACTATCCAGTGAATAAGTGACAGGAAGATAGGAATAAAAACAAAAAACACATCGTGATGTAAATACTTATATGTATTTCTTCATTACATAAGATATAAACAGAATTTGGTATAAATACTTCTATCAAATGTTATATTACTATAAATAATTTAAAATGAAATAAATTTTATTTCTCAGTGAATAATAATGATCCCAGCAACCAATTATAGCACTAAAGCTAGATAAAACCATCTTTAATTGATAAATTAAGATACAGATTGCGATTCTGGATGTTCTTGGGACTGTTGATTTTCCAAAACCATAGCTTCAGCTGCAGTAGATTGTTCTGGAGCTGTATCTAGTTGCATTTCATTCACTACTTCTAATATTTTCAATTTCGCCTCTGCAATCTTAGCTTCGGGTAATTTCTTAATTTGTTCAGCAATACTTTGCATAAAATAATCAATACTATCTCCACGTCTCTGACCACGTCTTAGTGAACGTTGACCAGCAATTCTTGTTTTATCAGGACCAGTTTGTTCCTCAAATTGTACCTGACGAGTAGCATCTTCAGGTGCATTGTGTTCAGTTTCTGCCCTACCTTCTTCTGTATTGGAGCTAGTTTCTGGTGGTGGTAGGTTAAATATTCCTTTATTGTACCTTGGGTCCCTACAAGGTGGTTCGCTCATAAAAGCGCATTGCATCCTTAAAAAATAAATTGTATTAGTTTCAATTAAATGCAGAAATAATAAAAATTAAATATGAATTAAATACCTACCAACATGGATTGAAACCATCCTTTTGCATCCGTTTAAAACAATATTTGCATTTATCTTTCTTATCCTTAGATTTAAAACGTTTATCCTTTTTACATTTAAATCTTCCCTTGCATACATCTGCACCTGAAAAATGAATGCTTTTTTAGAGAAAATTCTGCAGACATTGAAATTATCTTTGAACTATTTAAAACAAAATATTAATACCAATATATGATTTTCTATTTTATTACAGTTATAATAATAGTTCACAAGTGTAACAATCAACTATTTGATATTAAAAGTAGGCTGATGTCATACCAACCAGTCACTCCTGTCTCATATATTTTCTATAAATATATGCAATAACTAAGTGGTGATAATTTTTATATTTATTTGTGCTTATTTATACTTTCAACTTCATTTGAAGTTAAAAATATAATTTCATTCAAATTTTGTCAAACCCAGGCTTAATTGATGATCGTTGCATTAACACCGGCTCGATAAATAAATTAACTTAAAAAAGTTAATCAATTACAATAGTCCTTTGTATCACCTCATTGGTTCAATATTTATCCTTAAAAACAATTTTAGCTACCAATTTAAGTTTGTTCTTCTGAATGTAATTTATCTTGCACTGAAATATAATGAATTTGTAATAAAAAATGAGCTAATTTTCAATCTGAATTATTTTGTTTATGCAGATTTTACAAAAATATTACATAAATCAGTTGTGTAAGTTGTATCAATGCATTTTATTGCTACTTTAACATAGTTAAGTCACCAACAAGGTAGATCAATAATAAATTAAAATATGTATATATACACGAATACATACACACACTGTTATTTATCTATATTGTTCAAATAGGGACCATAGTAGGCCTCATTTTACATCTCGAAATTTATTTATTTTCTTTTGGTCCAAATATCCTCCATTAGTGGACTGTGTCTAAACAATAAGAATATTGTATTATAAACAGAATAGTAAATTTCAAGTGATTTTGATTTTTTTCGTAATCATATTGGATTCATTATTTATTCATTTTTAAATCTCATAACAGATTCGTATTAAATAACCCTCTAAAATCAGAAAAAAATAACAATATTGTCTAATTAATATTGGTCTTTTTATGAAGATTTGACATCAAACTAGTCAATTTGAATTTAAGAAACTCCGGATTTTAAAACTAGGAAACCTTAGCCTTTCAGTAGATAGAATCTTATTTTCGAAAGAGAACCTAAGATTTGAGAAACAAATGGGGCATTTAATATTAATGTATGAATATTTTTCCGATGGTGTGAGAGTAGATCGACAAACGAAAAGATAAAGGTTGGATGGAGTGGGGATGAACAGGATAGTTGATGTACTGCGTCTTCACCATAAGGTTGGTGGGACTGCTCAGTCAGTGATGTGGACTGTAGAGGGGGCGCAGAATTTTATTATATACTCGTAATAATTAAAGAGTCTTCAGTGTGTGAAAACTTCGTGATTCCCAGTGTTTTATAAATTTTTAATCTCTGACGAAATTATACCGTGTAATAAAGGGTTTATGAAAGAGAATAGTTTTTTACGTTGACAATTCAATTGGTTTTAAATTCATAATAAATAATCTAAAACGTTCGTTCTAGGTCGATTTCATTTACAATAATTCCGAACATATTATATAATTTGAAACATTTTACTCTATAAAAATTGTTAAGAGATTATGGTATCACTGCTATCTTCAACGTAAATGAGATTGGGCTTGTAGGCTAAGATAAAAAAAAATGATTTGTTTTATTTTATCGACTGTTACTTTGTATGAAAAATAAAGTGCATAAATGTGTATTCTAATTGAAAATTATCTTTAACAAATTTGATGTAACTTGTAAAAATAAAAAAAAAAAAAAGAACATACCATCACCAGGAGGTGCTGGATTTTCATTTCCAGAATTCTCTTTACACTGCTGTTCCTCGCCGATTTGGACTTTATCGATTCCATCGGCTAGAGATTCATCTTCGCTTTCGCTGGAGCTTGAAGAGGAAGAGGAGGAAGGGCGCTCATGATGTTTCTTATGATACTTTTTATGCATCTTATGGTGCATTTTGTGAAACATTAGAGGATGCCTCATGGGATGCCCCATTCTGGGGGACTTATGCGGTGGCCACATTTCCTGTGACTTGGGCATCGTGTGGTGCCACATTTCGTGTGGTTTAGGCATCATGTGGTGCCACATTCCATGCATCCCATGAAACATTCCGGGAGGAGGAGGCCCCCCATGTTTCTTGTGCATCCTCTTGAACATTTTGTGAATATGCATGGCTCTAAGTGGAGAAATTTCCTGGAGTGTCTCCTGTCCTCTTCGGATCGTGCTGCTGCCAGAACTGCCGACCGCAGCGGTGAGAAAGTGCGGTCGAAGACTACAGCGCATGCGCGGCCGACCGCACGGTCGGATGTTGCGCAAAAGCTTGTGACCTCGCTATGTTGTTAGAAATTATTTACCTCTCTCCGAGTTCTTTGTTCTTGGTACTGGATGTTGTAATATTGCAAAAATTTGTGAAATATTGCAATATTTATTAAAAATTATTGCAAAGTTCTACAGTATTTTTAGAGGCATTTTTCTGGATTTATCGGCCATATAAGATGAAATGATTTGAAATGTAGGATTCCATTATCACTGCCTTACCTTATAGCGGTTTCTAATGATAATTAGGTTCCCCACTTACGGATTAGAGTATAACATAGTTATTTTGCTTCATTTTCGTAGATATCGTAGACAAATTAGGATATCAATAATAAGGTGTTATAAAGGAAACGCTTGCTTCTTGTGGTCATACACGTTTCCCTGTTTTAATTCTTTTGGAAATAATGAACTGTTTTTATTTCGTTGTGTCTTACATTAACCAAAGTGTAAAAATAAAAATAAACGCTTTAGACCAATTTTCACTATTTTAATTTGACAATTTCGTTGATAAAACCAATTTCCACCTCCAGTAATAAATAAAGTTTTTTAAATTTGTACTGAAAATTTCGGAAAGCTGCGTAGTTATACAAGCATAGGCAATAGTTAAAATATGTTCCCTTAGAATTAGTTGTAATGAGCTTCCACGTCATCTTCGAGCGTTATGCAACCGCCCTCCTCCATCTTGTTATTCAGATAAATGATTCATATAAAAAAAAGAGCTTCAATTTTCTCTGATAACACAAAGTAGAAGCATGCTATCAATTATAGAAGTATTAATGGAACAAAAATCTAATAGCGAATTTCTAATATATTTTCTGAAATATAACATACTTAAAAAAAATAAGTTTTCTAAAACTTGTAGGGCTATTGATTCTTCCTCCATTATCCAGCTATATTCAATTTTCGTAAAACTTGGTATAGTGAATATTCCTGAAATGTTTTAGCTTGGCACGTTTTTTAATGCATACTATTACATAATATTATAATTTACATAATATTATGAAATTGAAAATTATAGAAATATTTTTCAAAAGAATATCATAAAATTTCTCTCATTATTTAAAAAAAAAGCAGGTTTGGAATAGACATTCCCAATAAAAATAATTATTGTAGAGATTTATTAAAATTAAAAAAAAATTAAAAAACTCCGAAATCAGAAAACTGTTATATCATGAAGGAGGTCGGCTACCCTCGTTCCGCTAGCCATCCATGTACCATTGAAGTTATATTTTGCGGTCTCATGACATTTTTCATTAATATAACAATAAAAAAACTAAAAAAAAAACTTTGATGTCCATTTGAATAAAATGTTGTTAATTTGTATTTCAATTTCTTTCCATTGTAATAGATGTAAAAGGTAATGTAATTGACAAAATCTTATTGATTAATTATAATTTACCTAATTTTACTATAATATATTTAATAAAAAATCTAGTATGTCTATCTAAAAATCTAATTTATTTACCTTAAATATAATATATTTACATAAAATTATAGATGAAAAATTTAAATTCATAAGATATATTTCTCAAATTAAAAATTCTCGTAATATTTTCAATTATTCGGAGATTAAAATGTATTTATAATTTTATAGAATTTCTTGATAAAATTTAATAGGAAGATCTCACTTAAAGTAGTAATATTTTTTTCTATAACTTTACTTTTTGTCTATTTATTGCATTTTCTAATCTTCAATAAATATAGTTCTACAAATTATTTCGTTACTTTGAGGAAAATGTTTCTTCTTCTTTTTCTGAAACCAAGCCCTTTATACTAAAAAAAGTAGTATTAGACTAATCTGACGTTAGGCGAGAGAAGGGGGTGAAAGACTTATGAAGCTTCAGCCCCAAATGATTTTTTTTTTTTTTAATTTACTTTAGAATGCGATATTTGTATATAAATGAATCATTTATTTCGAAATTATCAAAGATCCAGTTTGATTTATTTCTCAAAATCAAACAGAGAGGAAAAATTATTAGGATAGTGAAATCAAACTCCCTCCAAGTAAAATCCAGCCTACGCGTCTGACCGATGAAATCTGGATGACACATCTTGATGGCACGTCGGTCGACAACCTACCAGCCTCTCAACACAGGAATTTACATTATTTGATTTAAATTTAACTAAGAAACAAGACAATGTAAGACCATGATTTTCAACAAAGAAAAATGTTTCTCTAAAACCGATCGATGATTTCATATACTTTAACACAAATCTTGTTATTACTTTCACTTACTGATATAGATAGATAGAATAGATAGAAAGTAAACTTTATTCTGGGACAAGGTCCCTTATGAATAACAGATATGAACAAAAAAATAAAAACTACATCTGGCCAAAAATTACATTAATCAATATTAAAGAATATATACAGTATCTTCAGTGAAATTAAATTAAAACAAGTAAAAATAAAATAAAATTTTGAGAAAAAACGAAATAGAAAAAAAAAACATTATTTAAATAAAAATAAAATAAGCATGGGTTGATTTTTAAAATTAAGACTCAATAAATTTTATCAACCATTCACCTCAGTTAAAATCTGTTTCACAATATTTATTTTATTGTATAACGTCATTTTGGGATGTGAGAAGGAATTGGTAAAGATGATATTTAAATGAGGACAAGGAAGAGGCATGGCGGATTTCAGATGGCAAGGAATTCCAGAAGGCTGTGGATCGGGAAATAAAGGAATATTCAAACGTCTTAGTTCTATGGGAAGGGATATAAAGGTCGGAAACACGGGATCTTGTTTTCTGGAAGTGGACCACGGGTTTAAACTGTAGGAGACTGTAGATGTAAGAAGGGTGTCTGATGTTGATTGTTTGGAATAGGAAAGATCCGAGGAAATATTGTCTGCGGAAAGAAGGGAAGAGCCACTTTAACTCGTCGTAAAGGTGGGATACATGAGATCGCTTTGATGTACCGAAGACAAATCTTAAGCACGTATTCAGGAGTCGCTTCAATCTATCCTCGAGTACCATCGGGATGCCTCCGTACACCACACAGCCATAGTCAAAGTGGGGGAAAATGAGAGAGGATACAAGAAGCTTGCGGATGGGTTGTGGGAGTAGGTGGCGGGAGCGATGAAATAGCTTAAGGGTACCTATTGACTTACGTTAGATGAGGGCGATATGGGGTTTCCAGGAGAGGTTTTCGTCTATGGTGATTCCTAGGTTTTTAACGGATGAACTGAATGTGACAGGATGATCGTTGATGACTAAAGAAGGAAGGAAGGAGATGGATTTAAGAATAGGACTGGAACCTATAGTAATGGCCTGAGTTTTCATCGCATTTAGATTTAAATTATTCAGACTTGCCCAGGCACTGATCCTATCTAGGTCTGCCTGAATATTGGCGAACGCGACTAGTAGCTCAGAAGGATGAAAGGAAAAATATATTTGGGTGTCATCAGCGTATAAATGATGTGAACAGTGGTAGATGGATTTGGAAAGATCATTTATATATGGAATATGAATATATGGAATATATAGTAAGGGAAAGCATTGCGACCAGCAAAATTTTCGGAACCAAGTTTTCAACGGAAATACATGTTTTGAGCTCTCCTGAGTCCAAGTAACCAAGTCCCAAAATGATCTGTGTGTGTGTGTGTGTGTGTTTGTATGTGAACAGTCTATACGAAAGGTAGTACGATACTCATATTACGTATTTAAGATAGATATAAGCTTTAGATGTGACAGCAACTGTTTCCTTAAAATCGGCTAACCGGAAGTGCAACTTTATATGAACGGTGAAACACATTTTCACAAAGACGGCTCCAACGATTTTGATTAAACTCGGCGTATCATTGTATAATTAAGTTGTCTTTAATATAATTTAGGTATTTTCCCAATTTTGATTTTACAGGACTTAAACGCCCAATGTTTATATACGTCTTCCTCTAAAGAACGTTTAATATGGTATATTTTGAAAATTTAACTCTATATATCTATAAAAAATGGCTAAATATAACTTTTGAAATAATTCTATAATTGAATAAAGGAGAAAAAAGAAAAATGCTTTTCCAGATAGAAAATGAATCTCCGGAAATAATAGTAAGAAGGTATACGTATAATATATCGTTAGAAAGCGGAGAATTTTAGAAACATTAGAATCAAATAAATAAAGTTGTAGAAGGTGACAAAAAATATAAATAATACTTTCAGAAAACAAACATTATTTAACGTAAATCACATGTTTCCAAGGAAATTAATGAAATTTTCTTACTAAATGTAAGCTTTTAAATTGTTTTTTAAGTTTAAAAAAAAGTATTTTAAATCCACCGAATCATGTCAATGCCATTATTTAAAATACTATTTCATTGTACTTGTGTGAAATATAAAAATATTTCATGGATATGTTTATAGCCTTAAATACATTCAGTGTAGTTTAATAACTCTAGATATGATATTATAAATAATAGGTATCTATTGGTCGTTTATTCCAAAAAAAATCATCAAGTAACCTTAATAGTAATTAAATAGAAAATTAAACTAGTGAATAACTTAGTGAATTTTCCCTTTGCAAAATCCAAACATTATCCACTTACAATTAGTATGACAACTTTTGACCTATCCATGGCAGGCATTGAAAATCTTTATTTTAAAATTTTATTTTAGAAAACTTTGCAATGGAAAATAACAGTTTAATAACTAATAGTCCTACAATTCATAATCATTTATAGGTTAACTATTTAGATATACAATATTTTCAAATCTCTCTAGATATATATGAGCCTTTCGATTGACAGAATGACTAACTCCAATTTCAACATTCTTCATTATTAATTTTAGTAATGTTTCTAGTGGCAAAATTTATATCTTTATTCACAGTCCTATATTGCAAAACTGCAATCACCTACTCTGGAATCAACTTAATCGCTCTCTGTATAGATATAACTTTTCCAACTAGAAATATCACTAAAATAGCATTACTCAAAAATGTTGAAATTGGAGTTATTCATTCTGTCGACTGAAAGGCTCAGAGGCTGAAGTTGTGTGGTTTATAAATGTAGATGGAGTAACTAGACTTTTAATGTCAATAAATAGACTTTTTGTAATTTTAATGGTCTTAATGATTTTTTATCTGTAAGCTTTAAGCTTTAGCTCCGATTAAAATTCACTTCAAAAATTTTATAATAGCCCAACAATGCCAGAAAATAATTTCTATTCAAAGTAGAGCGGTAAGTGAAAGTTCTGTGATGCGCACACCAAATTTTTTTTACAACATCATGACATAATGTTATCTGTAAAACTGTTGTTATTTTCATTTATTGAGGATTATAATTGGAGCCCCTGGAAGCAAAGCGGTGTAAGTGACAAAACTTAGTTTTCAGTAAACGATGGATAAACCAAAAATGATAAAGCAGTTATACCTCTCCTTTAATTCCAATAATTTTTCTACACTGACGGACTTTCTTTTTCATAAATCCTACATTCTTCCTAAAACCACTATTATAGTTGAAAGAGGTATTAAACATTTTTAAAAATGTTTTAAATTGTTTGATGAAGTTTGTAGATTGATGAAGTTTTAGAGGACAACAAGCATTTTAAATGCGAATTCAAAGCTTCCTTCCTACTTTTGGAAGTTAGGGATCAAAATTTTAACTAATCAATATGATGTGAAGACAGAGCTGCAGTCTTAACCGCTTGTTTTTCATAATTGTCTAAAACATCTCAGTGGAGAGAGATAGCAAGTGAAAGAGACCTTGCAGAAGAAAACTATGTATATTCTAGACTATTACCTGAAATCCATTTCAAAGGAGAATAGAGAGAAAATCTGTGAGAGGAAATATCAGAAACACAAATATAAAAAGCAAATTGAGCGTATAACCGCCGAAAATATAATATAAGGAAGCTAAGCTGGTTTAGTCATGTTAAAAGAATGAAAGAAAAATAATGGACAAAAGCATGTACGAAACGAGTTTAGAAGAAAAAAAGCCGACAGAAAGACCTAGACAAATTTTTGAAAAATGGAGAGGCTCTCGATAAAAATTTCCTACTGACGGTCTGATTATAACGATTTAAATCTAAACTAAGTAGAAAATGATTAATATGTATCTGATTAAACACTGTGAGGTGACCTCTACTTTCAGTTATTAATATTAATCCAGGGAGTATATTGCTTCCCATCAAAGTATACTTTGCTGTCGCCAATCTAATTAATAAACAGTAGTTTGGGTTTGAATTTTCAGGGAGGCGCTAGTTTTTGTATTGTCGGTCTATAATTAGATTTCTTTCCCTTCTTCGCCTTAAAGTCTGTCATTCTTGTTACCGAAGGAGGGGTGAGGAGGTTATTCTTGAGATACAACCAATTTATTCCAAACAGAATGGGAAGGTCGAGATCCATTCCGTGGGCCTCCCGCGAAGTCAATTTCAACCCGACCATGCTTGATTCGATCCGTTGCCTCTATACTTGAGGTTGCCATGGCTATAACGCCTAAACACTCTCGGCAATTGCAGCCGCTAATAATATAAGAGTGTCAAGGAAAATACACTTGCGCATCCATATACGAAAGTAGGAGAGTTTGATTTCTGTACGATTGATACAAGATCATTTATTCAACTGTTTCCTATACTTTCCCACAACTTATAGCCAAATCGAATGAACCGTTTTGAAGTTTAGGGGCATCAATAAAATTAATTTATGAATTAATCAGTTGTGAATAATGAACGTAAAAACTAAAATTTATACCATTTTATTCGTTTTATATTTACTTTTAACGTTTCAATATTAATATTTGTTATTAGAGATTGATTTTTACAACTCAATTGTGATAAATTCTGTTCAAAGTAAACCATGTTTTTTTTTCCTTCTCTCCCCTCTCCCTAAAATATCAGTTTTACATTCATTACTTTAAAGATGTTGCGAAGATAAGCCTATCTTCGATTTTAGATTTTTTCCATATTTATTTATTTAAATTTTGCTTCCTAAATGCCTAAGGTAGGGATAGCCTGCGGTGCAGACCTCTTTTTATTAAATTTTTAACATCCATCTAAAATTTCAATACATACGAAAATTTCACAGAAGGATGGGGCTTTTTTCAGTAAACTAATGAATTTAACGAGATCCTGCTAAGCGGCCTAAAAAAATTGTAGGCCTCCTTTTTTCTCGATATGATCAAATAATCTTACGATTCCAATGGATAAATTGATATTCATGAGTTAGGCTATAAGTACCTCATTTAATTGACACAGTTCTCGATCCCCACATTGAATACGTCCATTTTTCAAGAATTTTCGTGAATAAAAAACGCCTGTCAAGTAAGGCCAGTAAAATTTCCTCACCGTTTATATTGGCTGAACAATATCTATATTTCAATGTCTATAATTTTTCGTAGGAGAATAAAATCTCCGAGAGAAGCCATTTTCGAAAAGACGGTAATTTCTTAACATTCGCGGATTTGGTATCCACCAATTTTGTTTATCAGCGAAGAATAAAATGCTGAAGAATTCACATTTGCAAATCTCGTATTTGATGAATCATGATTTTCAAACAAAATCCCAGTACATACTGAAGATGTAAGTTGCTATTGTTAGCATAAAAAGTCGCATGTAAAAATTGAGTGTTTTAGAGGAGATTATAAAAACTAATTATTTCCTTGTGATTTATTAGTGTAATTTTTATATTTTATTTTCCCCTGCTATTTTCCATAGTACCAGATTACCTTTATCAGTTGCGTACTACGAAATGTCACCTTTAGCACCACTAGAATAAAAATGGAAAATTGTTACATACGACCTTTTACACTAACAGTAGCGATGTATACTTATAGGTATGTTATATTATACTTATATTATTATATGTTATATTATACTTATAGGTTTGTTTTCACGATTAAAATGGATGGAACAAAAAATCTTTATAACCTTCACTGTAACTCACATTAAAATTTGCTGATTTTAATTTACAAGTTTTTACAAAAGGCCATAGAGGAGAAATGGCCTCATTTTATGGGATCAGAATATGCACCAGGATAAGATTTGTCAGAAAAGCTCAAAACCTCATTCCCCAAAGAAATTGTCCTTACAGCCTTTTGCAGAGTGGCTGTCGAAATGCTCCAATGTACAAATAGAACACGTGCCACAGTTATTTCGAATTGACAACATTTTCAGGAACAGTGTGGGTTGATACCTAGATATTCCAGAATCGATTTTATTAAGTCTCACAAACTGCTTTTGCTTAGGGCGTGTTGTTTTCATTGCAAAATAATTGAGTACTTTTTTATTCTCTGGTTCTCAACCGATTTTATTATTATTTTATTTATTTCTTTTAGTAGATATCGACAAGCTTAGTATTATCCATAAAAAAACAAAAAAAAAAAAAAAAAAAATGGAAACAGTATATACGTATAAATATACATGTCAGTTTGTTCTAAACCGCTAATTTGCGAAAGTTATTCATCGATTGCTTTTAAATTTTGGAACAATGTTGCGATGTAATTCTTGAATGTTTTCATAAAACCTATGTCGCTATCTGTAACTTGGCTAAATTCTTTCCCTTGAAGCTCTTTTATTACTTTTTTTATGTATATAACATATTTCTCCCGACAATTCCTGAAAAAAAGTAACGATGGATTCAATATTTTATTTGTGAATAATTCCAAAGGCAGACAATTTTTGGTTCATTGTATCTATGGGTATTTTAAAGCTTCCTGGATTCCCTAAAAAAGAAAAAAAATTCATCGAAATCGAAAAGAATCATGTCCAATAAGCATAATAGTATTTTTCATTAGCTATAGTATGAATACCGAATTGTAATTAAAAAAAATGTTCTGACTCATGAAAAGCAAAGTGGGTTCAAACATTTTTCTAGAGAGAAACCAAGTTGAGATTTGTATTTCGCGCCTAGAAAAATCTCAAATATGAATTTTCATGCTAAGCGAAGAAGAGTAGAAATAAATCTATAGGAAAAATGCAAATTCATGTATGTTTTCTAAAATTTTAAATAATGATAATGGTCGATTTTGGACCAGTAGATAAACGATTAAAAATTCACCAAGAGGCAGAAAATATATGTTAGGCAATTATTGGAAAAATTCTAAAATATAGCATTTAGTTTTTAAAATGCATGTATAGAACAGAATAATCCTTCTATCAAACCTAATAAAATTAAATGAAACACAAATTTATATAGCTTTATAAGTAAATATAGCTAGATCCTTTCCTTGGATATGCCAATGCTACCATATACTACTGAAGTGTATGGAATTCCTCTTCAAATGATATAATAATTCAATTCAATTCAATTCAATCTTTATTTGTTTTAAGAAAAGAATCCTATACAAATGAAGTCTATCCCAAAATAACAAACATTATTTTCCTTATAGAAATACAAATTCATTCCTTTTTATACTACATTACAAATATTACAACATTGTTTTGGATAAATTAAAAGAAAAATGATATAATAATATTTTGGGATTTTCGATGTTGTAGATTTATGACGTAAGTTCTCTTTTTATTTAAATACTTTCCACTATGTGCTATCTCACTCATCCTTATCTATGTTTTTATTATCTCTTAATATAATCCATTTAATGGATGCATTTTTTAGATACTATTAATATAATTATCTTGATGAAAAATAAATACATTTAGAGAGTAATTTTTCTTTTAAAAACATATTAATTGCAACAAGCCAGGGAAGAGGTACTGCTGGATGATATCCTTCCCCATGTCCGATACGTCATTTCCATTATTTTCATCAGACCATCTGCTGTTGGTCAACGGTTTGTTGACAGGTGCAGATGAATAAATGAAACAAAAAAAATATATATATAATTTCCAGCTGCTGATCTTTTATGTAATCTTATTGGATCCACAAGTCAAATAAAGAATTTTGCAACGAACATTGCCCTAATTTGGCGGATGTTTATTAAAATAGTAAAAAAAAAAAAAAAAGAAAAAAAAAAGCACAAACAGAGCAAACAACTGTTTGTCCAGAACGTGCCAAGACCACAAACGTTTTACAGGTTATCTATCTTAAATTGCTTAGAAGAACATCCGTGCCTTGTGCCTGCTTTATTTCTTTCAATGATATCTTCTCCGACAGTTGTGCTGTTGGTCTGGTTTGCAATTTATCTTATCAATGTTGTATTAAAACATTTTGGCGAGATACATAAAACCAAACCTTCAAGAATAGTTTTTATTAACATGTTTAAGTAGAATGCATAATAGTTTATTAAGAACGTAAAACGATGCATTGTAATACTACAATATAAGGTATATTCTCAAGTATAAATTACAGCAGTTGTCAGTCTTAATTGTCTTTACTTAGAGTTAGTTATCTGGCGTTATAAAGCTATTATAAAGCAATTGATTTGTTGAAGTAATAAATTTTATCAAGATAACAAGAATATCTACCACACATCGTTGGTTAAAATTGAACTCCCACTTATACCTGCCAGAAAAGTAATACCTGAGATCACATATCCTACCTAAAATATGATTTGATGTTACACTTTTAACTTAAAGTAATACACAATGCGGTTAATGATAGCATATCATTAATCATTTAAGATGTCTCGTAAGTAGAGGTAAATATTTAAAAGGTTGATAGTAGACATCAAGGCCTACAGAAAAGTCGGAAATTTAAGATTTGTGTTTTTTAAAGGGAGCGACGTTTTCTTAAAGCCTAACAGAAAAGTCGGAAATTTAAGATTTGTGTTTTTTAAAGGGAGTCACGTTTTCTTTTTGAATAGGAAGCGATAACATAAAAGAATATTTGGTTCAAGTAATTAAACATTGCTCCATAGTAAACTAGAACATATTTACTTTAAAGGAAAGAAGAGGTTGTCATTGTTAAAACTATTTAAAGAGGATTATTGAGCGGATAAACACAGCTAAGTTCCGTTTAAAAAAAGTCATAAATTATTTGTGATTATTTTTTATCACCCTTTAACTTTAGTAAATTTACCACACTTTTAGAAAAACTTCATCTTTTGATGAGCTTTAAGTCTATATAAATTAAGTTGAGGTTTATTAGGAAAAATTTTGATTCAGATTTTTTATTTTTATTTATTTGAGATTCACCTCTGTCATCTAAAAGTGTTATTCTGCAAAAATGACTACCATTAACTATTGTAAAGCTTTTATTTCTTGTTTTTCTGTTATATGGAATGTATTGCAATAAACATAATTGCCTAAAAACACATTTTATTTATAAAAATAATGATTTTTCAAATATGTTTCATGTAAGTGGTTATAAAATTATGTTTTTCTATCAGATGTCTCATTAGTAACATAACTTTTTATTTGAAATTTAACCGGAACCATTTTGACGTATTACAATCAAACCAGTGGAAATAGCAAGAAAGGGTTAAGACTCTAAATTCTATTTCAAAACCGGATTCCCTGTATTCATAATGGAACTAAGCGACAATATAGTGGATTCATGTTCTCAGAATATGAGCTTTCCTATTTCCTTGTTTCTTCGTTTTATAGCAACACTACTATATATACCCTATTATGTGACAAACTTGATGTTTCTAACCATAACATCCATGTTTTCTTGAAAATAATTGAAGCAATCAGTAGGTTTCTTTATTTAAAAGGAAAATTTTACTAAGAAACATTAAGTTTGTCACATATAAATACACATAAATTCCAACAACAGATATCTGAGAGAAAAACACAATTCAATAACCACCTTACATGAAACATATTTGAAAAATCATTATTTTAAATTTTTTATATTTATAAATAAAATGTGTTTTTAGGCCGTTATGTTTATTACAATAAATTCCATATCACTGAAAAACAAGAAATAAAAACTTTGCAATAGTTACTGGTAGTAATTTTTGCAGACAACACTTTTAGATGACTGGCTAGAAAATCAAATAATTTCTTCACTCAACCTGAGGTGAATCTCGAAATTTTTCCTAATAAATCTCAACTTAATTTGTTAGGAATTAAAGCTTGCCAAATGAGCAAGTTATTCTAAACGTAAATGTAGTACAGTTAAAGGTTGATAAAAATAATCACAAATAATTTATGATTTTTTTTTAAACGGAACTTAGCTAGCTGTGTTTATCCGCTCAGTGGTCCTCTTGAAATAGTTTTTTCAATGACAAATTCTACTTTACTTTAAAGTAAATATGTTCCAGTTTGCTTAACTATGGAGCAATGTTTAATTACTTAAACCAAATATTTTTTTTGTTATCGCTTCCTATTCAACAAGAAAACGTGACACCCTTTAAAAAACACAAATCTTAAATTTTCCACTTTTCTGCTGGAAATTGAGCAATTGTTTATATGAGCTTTTTTTTATATCTTGTTGTCTATTATCAACATTTCAAATATTCCCCTCTACTTACGGTACAGCCTGTATAGTGAGGTTACAGTTATCATTAAATTTGTCTTGTATTCTCATTATTATTATGTTGACATTTTATTCCTTTTTTTTTTTTTACAACATGGATTTTATTCCTCTTGTATATGAAGAAAGACATTAAGGGTGAATATATAAATATTAACGACTAGAATACAAATTGTTCTTGCTGCAGTAAGTTTTTTATTGTGATCATTAATAGACATTCCACTTCCTCTTTGATTGTCGTCTTCACCATGGGATATCTCAACAATTTTTTATTTATTTTTTTTAAACTGATAGGAATTTCACATGGGTCTTCAAGTTTATACCGCTTCCACTTGGTTTTAGTTGTAACTAGTATTAAATTGATTTGTGATTGAAAAAAAGTATTATTTTTGTTTGGTTTAGTTAATTTAGTTCTTTTATACACAATTAGAAAAGAAGGAAATGAAAAGGAAACATTAAATCAAATCTTAGTATATGACAAATGACAAATGTTGGTGTGTAGTTTGATATTAATTTTCAAACTAATATTAAAATTTTTACTTCTCATTCTAGGGTATGTATTAATAAAGGTTTTGATTTCCTACTCTGTTCAACAGACAGGAGCAGATTCATTTTTTGGTTATTATCTGTGAAAAATATTTGGTCAGCTTGGCAAAGTTGTTGCCAAGGTCTTCTATCCGGGTCAATAAAGATTTTTTAACCAGTCAGGTTTCGTTGGAACCAGTGGAAAATAACTTGAGTTGAAAAAAAAAAAAACGTTTTGTTCCGATTCAGGTTTAAAAAACAGGAATATCATTTGCCTTTATAGCCTTCGTACTTCTACTTACTAGGTATATAATTTTTACTTTCACTTGCCTACACACACACACACACATATATATTACCGTTATAATGAAATTACCGTGAAAATCTTTGAATCTGAGTTTTGGAAATACACGTTTTGAGGTCCTCTGAGTTCAAATAACCAAGTCCCGCAAAGTGGTCCATGTTTCTGTGTATGTTTTATATATGTATATGTTACCAGTCTAGCTCAAAAAGGAAAAGTCGTAAGAAAGTGAAATAGCATATTTAAGGTTTGTATATACCTGAGATATTACAGATTTTTTTTTTTTCAAAATAGGCTACCCGTAATTGGCACTTTATATCATCGATGTAACACATTTTTACGATTTTCTCGAAAACGGCTCTAACGATTTTGGTTAAATTCGCTGTATCAATGTATGCTTTAGTAATCTTTAATATCATTTAGGTCTTATCACTATTGATGTCACTTAACAGGATTTAAATGCCCAATGTTCGATGTCTATAGTACCTTTAATTTTGTTTATTTTAAGTAATTAACTATTTCTCCATATTAGGAGTTATGAAAAAAGGTTAAATATACTTTTTGAAAGAATTTGGTTATTGAATAAACGAGAAAAAAAGAAAAATTCTTATCCAGGTCGAAAATGAATCTTCGGAAAGTATGCGTATAAGATATCGTTGGAAAGTGAAGAATTGTAGAAAAAAGCAAAATCTAACATTGAAAATAGTTGATTTACCTTCATAGAGAAGGTAATATGGAGAGTGACGAAAACTAATATTACTTAACGGAAACCACATGTTTTCAAGTAAATTAAATGAAATTTACTAATTAAATGTAAACTTTAAAAAAATATATATTTAAAAGCCACATAATTAAGGCAAGGAAATCGTTTAAAAAACTATGTCATTGGACTTGCGAGAAAAAAGACCGTTTATTCTGGAAAACCATCATGTAAACTTTTAGAAAATTAAATTAGTGAATAATTAGATGAATGTAAGTGACAAATTTGTTGAATGTTCCTGATTCTAATATTTAAATTTCTATGAAAAATAATTGAAACTATCAGAAGGTTTCTTTTTTACAAACTCAGAATAAAAATTAATTTATGTTTATTGAAAATTTCACGAAATGTAATTGACGGGAGTAAGTGTCATACCAGTAACGTTTGAAATAAACGAAACAATGCAGTACAAATCCACTCTTTGAATAAAGTTTAAAATTTTATAACCCCATAAAAATATTGTCTTAACCTAACTCCAACTCCAGATGATCAATGCCTTTCATATTTCACTGCCATTATATTGTTAACAATTATTTATATTAATTTTAATTATCAAATGGAATCATAAAATTCATACCTATTTGATTATCTGTTTACCAATCTCCAAATTTCTCCAAATTTCAGCCAAATGTAACATGCAGTTTTTGATATAGACGTATCAAGGAAAACACATTTACGCATATATAAGAGAAATTAGTGGACAAAATTCAATAAAACTGACATTACATTATTTTTTCACCATTACCTATCTTTTATCCAATTTTGAGTCTAATCTAAAGAGTCCTTTCTGAAATATTGGCATATCTAAAAAAAAAATACGTTTGCGCTTGCGTAAGCGGAAGTGCTGGATGGAATTTGATAAAATTGATATGTGACCATTTAGACCACAATCTGCTCAATCCCAAAAATTTCATAGAAATCGGATGAAAGATAGTAGTTGATGTGACCGTCACATCAATTTGGCTACAGACAGGCCCCGACAGACAGACACAGAACCAAAATAAAATTCATCCCTGAATGACTTCCCGAAGTGTGATAAAATTATAAGCAGAATCCAAAAATCTTCACGGATATGAATAGAAGATTACCTCACCTCGAAGTTTTTCAGTAGTTTAATTTCTTTCAATCTGATATATTGTTGTTAATAAAAGCAATTTAAACATTAATTTATTTTTATGTTTGAGATTTATTTTGTTTTTTGTCAATTTTAATATAGCATAATTTAAAATTTGATTAATAATGAATATGTTTTATATTTAGACACACTGAGGAATAGGAATGTAATTAATCAATGACATTTTAGAAAACAGTATTTAATATCTCATAATATAACATAGTTTTTAAACAAAAAAATTATAAATAAATAATAAAATATAAAAATAACTTCTTATTGTTTCAGCAACCAATCATGTTTATAATATATACACATTTAATTAATTTATTATATATATTTTTTCTTCATTTTCATCCTTAAGGGGATCTGGATATTTTGTTGTGCGTTGTCAACGATTGCTGTCGACCTGATACCTAAGCCATTTCGTTTTAAGTCTTCTTATTACTTCAATTTGGTTCTTTCGTCCTTCCCAGGGCTCCTTACCTGAAAAATAAATGATAATCTTTAGAACAAATATTCTAAATTATGGAGAATTAAACGTAGACGAATTTTAAATATATTATGAAACTACATATACCTATACCATATATGATATATACCTATATATACCATGTTAAGAGCTATTCATTCAAAAATTTTAAATCCATTTCAAGTGCACATATCATTAAAATTAAATTATTTAATAATGAATACAATTAAATGAACTATGCGAGTTCATCCGGTAATGATTGCAATAATAATCATATTTTTACTTGGTTCGTCTTTGTTTTAAAATTCAAAAGAACTGTAGTTCCTATTCGAAAATCGTTGAAATATTTTGTTATTGATTTTATTCTTGTAAGATTAAATATAAATATTTTTTTCTTTAACGGCTTAAATAACTTGTTCACTTTTTTCCTGAGATTGCTGATAAGATCAGATGAATCATAATTTGTAATAATGTGGTTGAGTTTGACTCTGATATCAGCAGTCAGTGAAAGAGAGCCGTCACTGTTCGTAGATGGTTACTTAATCGTTTGTATCGGAAATAGTCCATCATAAAAGAACATCATTAAGAACTAATTTTATCGTAAGGGGTTTTAAAGGAAGCATAAACTTTTTTTTATAAAATAATTCCTATTTAAATGATAATTCGGTTCTCAAATTCAGTATTTTGTCGGTTTTAGGGAAAAAGTGCCGTAGTGGGATAGATTATACCGTATACCGTAGTTTAAGGTATCCTACTTTACTTGCAAAGCAGTGTGCAAGATTAATTTTTTGTGAGATTTTTTTTTAATGCTGGATAAGTAAAAAATATCATGCCATTAGTTAAGATTTTTTTTAGTGAAAATGATGCGAAGCGATTAAGTATTAACGACTAATAAACTATGAAAAAGTGTGAGCTAGTTTTAAGTTGTGAAGATATTAAATTTGTTTCAGTAATCATGAAAAAAATCTTTAAAGACAGGTATGATATTGATGATATCGACTGTCACGTTCCAAAAGTCTGGAAGTGCAAAAACTACAGTTTTTAAAAGCTCCCCCCCCCAAAAAAAAGTGAATGAACTAGATTTTCCAATAAACTTTTTCTTACAGGATTTTGCAGCGTGGTTACGTATGCATATGTACGTATAATGAGTTGTGTTTTAGTAAAACAATTTATATTAATAATAATTTAAACAGATTTACATTTTCATATATCCAAAATCTACCGATATCAATTAATTGTTGTAATGTGTATATTAAATATTACCATGTTTTCGACATAATAATACATGGATTTTTTGAATTGGGTTTAACAGTGGTATGTACCCTATGACGTTTGATAAACGCCGATTGTTTTGTAGTAAGCAACTAATAATGTTTTTTAAATATAAAAATACTCAGAGCGCCAACTTACCTGCAGTTTCAAATGTTATTCGCCCAACCTCTATTGATCCCCGGATTGAATTCTGTAGACACGAAGGCCGTTATCGTTATCGCTGGAACTCGAGGATGATTGAGAGGAGGATCGGCCCCTGTGTTTCATGTGATGGTGTTTCTTGTGCATGTTATGGAGGTGATGAATTTTGTGGAGGAACATGTCATGTGGAAGACCTACTTCTGGCTTATGTATCATATGATGGTCCATTCCTCGTGGCTTATGCGGCATATGGGATCTCATGCCATGCATCTTGTGGAACTTACGGGGGTGCATTCTGTGTGGACCTATTTTATGTTTCTTGTGAATCATATGAAACGGTCCGTGATGTTTAGGCTTCATGTGAGGCAATACTTCTCCAGGCTCTAGCATATGATCTAACATTTCATGAGCCTGGAGCGATGTGTGATGCGGCCTTCCATGTGGTTGGTGCATTGCATTATCTACCAAAAATTCATTTTCACTTTCGCTTGAACTCGAGAAAGAAAAAGAGGAAGGTTGTCGGTGGCGTTTCATGTGATGGTGCTTTCCATGCATCCCGTGGAACATTGGTGGATGCATTTTGTGATGTCCCATTATATGTGGCTTATGTCCCGGTTTATGATGCATGTGTGGACCCATCTCATGCGGTTTGCGATGCATATGTGGACCCATCTCATGCGGTTTGCGATGCATATGTGGACCCATCTCATGCGGTTTGCGATGCATATGTGGACCCATCTTATGCGGTTTGTGATGCATATGTGGACCTATCTCATGCTGTTTAGGCATCATGTTGTGCCACGTCCAGTGGGGTTTAGGCATCATGTGGTGACTGAATCCATGTCTTCCATGAAACATTCCGGGTTTAGGAGGCCCTCCATGCTTCTTGTGCATTTTCATGAACATCTTGTGCATACGCATGGTGCTAAGAAAAGTAGTTTCTTCAGGTAAAGGTCTAGCACCCGCTGCGGTTGTACTGCGGCCAGGAGAGCCGGCCGCAGCGGTAAATAGTTGCAGGCGGTTCCAACAGCGCTTGCGCGGTTTCATGATCACCGACCGCGCGGTTGGCCGCAACGTCAAGTCTCTTGACCTTGTTGTAAAGTGCTTCATGACGTTTAGTTTTGATTGTTAAGAATGGTGCAATGTTCAAAAAGTGTGATGAAATATTGTGAAATAATAAAAATAAAGTTTAAGCCATATTGAATATTAGATAGTTTTTGTTATATATAGGTATGTTTTTGAAAAGTACGATTATCTACTAATTAAATACATACTTTAATTGGAATTATATAAAGGATGACCCGTAAGTAAAGGGAAACGTTTATAGGAATAATAGCAGAACTCAAGAGCTACAAAACTTTTAGTGAAACAATGAGCCATTTTTTAAGCAGAAAAGCAGAAAATCCAAGTTTTGTGTTTTTTCAAGTGTCATCTTTTTTTTTTAATAGGAAACAAAACGGGTCATCAATGCAAGACATCGAAACAGACTGTTAGCAGTAGAGATGGACTTTTGGAGAAGAGCAGCAAGAAAATCCAGAAGGGAAAGGATACAAAATTCAGAAAGAATTCTGAAAATGCTGGAGGTGGAAAAAAACTTTTTAGTAAGTATTGGAAAGAAAAGGTTATGCTGGTTTAGACATGTGAAAATAATGACGCCTGAAAAATTGCCAAAGATGTGTACGGAGCTGAAAGTACTCGTAGAAGAGAGAAGGAAAAAGGGAAGACCAAGGGTAAAATGGAAAGACACGGTGGAAGGAATCCTGGCGGGCCATGGCATCATATAATAACAAGCCTTGGATACAGAAGAATGGAAAAATGACTTAAAGAATATTTAGGTCAAGGACAACCACATTAGTAGATATCGCACATAGATATAATATTATTTCATTCCTCAAATATTGAAATAAATATATAGCTAATTAAATATATCCCGTAACAGAATAACCAATAAAATTTAAAAAATAATATTACCAAGTACCAGGAACTTGGTAGTATTTTCTTAACAGGTAAGCATAACACTTAATAAGTTTGAACAACTTACGCCTATGAGGTTTAGCAGAAAAATTAAATTCTACCATGAACCGTTACAGATCTTAACGACAAATCGATTTAGCGATCAGTATATTTTTGCCATAAATATAAAAGATTAGTTTAGTACTATATAACTACAACATATTATTTGGATTCTGTTAAAAATAATTAACTAATTTATATGAAGTAAGTATATTGTTTTTAAGAATTAAAAGAAAACAAATGGCATTCGAGATTAAATCATGTGAATTTTTTTCTGTTTCCTTTTCCTCTGTTTTCTTTTTTATTCTTTGAGAATCTTTCTTTATCCTAATGTTGACTGTTGCGGTCAGAGCATAAGAATTTCATACCCAATTTCAATAATTTGTTAATAAAAAAATTAAGTTACAAAATGGAATTAATATGCGACCTAAGCATGCTTTTTATGTAAAGGATTACAAAAAACCAATGTAATCCAATGTAAAGGATTACAAAAAACAAAAATTCAGACTTACAATTCAACTTGGTGAAACACACCACAAATTAACCAATTGTTCCCTAAACGTATATAGTCCGTGGCACAGACACCTTTTTATCGAATTATTATCATCCGCCTGAAACTTCGTAAATAGCTTCATCTCATCGTAGCCTACAACTGTTTTATTTATGAAAACTCTTGGAATTGGGGCGTTTTCAATCTGGAGGAGGGCAAACTTTGTCTATTTAGTTAAATACTAAAAACTCGTAAATATCCATTTGCTTTCTATTTGAATAGTAAAATATTCATCACGAAATCGATAAAAAAGGTCGCCTACAAAAATATTTGGCCGTTTGTCTTATATAACCTCCTTATTTTGAAATTTTGGGAGTTTAGGTCAGGTGATCAAATTATATCAAATTATTATCAAATTTGTGATCAAATTATCTTACGTTCTAAGTAGACAAATTTTGCCCCCCTCCAGGTTGAAAACTTCTCAATTCCAAGATTTTTCGTAAATAAAATAGTTGTAGGTTACGATGAGATGAAGCTATTTACGAAGTTTCAGGGGGATGTAAATAATTCGATAAAAATTGGTCTATACCACGGAGTAGTAGAGATTATAACAATAAAAATAATTTTTAGGAAATTTGTAAATATTTAAAAAAAAAATTCTGTAGGTGGTTGTACTTATTCCTTTCTTAAGTTCTCAGTCAACAAAACTGAGAAAAAATTAATGATAATAATACAGAAATTTTCATCACTTGCTATGTGCTTCTGTCTATGTATTATCAATTTTTTTACAAATTTTAAATTTTAACTTTTACTTGAGATCACAATCGTTTGGAAAACATACGTTTCATCATTCTAGATAAACAAGGAATTTTATTTACACTAAAATACAAGAGGTAACGTTAAATTTCATATTTTATAACCATGTTTACTTAGTACTCATATTTAGTGCTGTTAAAAGATACGAACTATTTCGTTATATATTGAGAACTGATAAGACACGCTTACAAAGAGTGGAGAAAGATAAGATTCATCGTTGCTCATATGAATTAATACAACCTCAGTATAATATTCATGGAGATTGATTAAATATCCAAGGTTTTCCATAGCATGAATATCTTTAACAGTATTAATGCAATTTTTTTATTTCTGAAATCCTGTTTAAATATTCCTACTGCGGAGATTCTTTTTGAACTAGTAAATGAATTTTCGCTGCGTTATAATATATTGTACTTGCTATGTTATTCGAAAAAGTGAAAGAAAAAAAACTGAAATTTAAAGTAATAGTTTACATATTTCCATTTTTTTTAAACTTAGGTATGCGTTGTTTGGATTAATGTGTACAATAAAAATCTCAATTTCAGATTTGGTAAGCCACCTGCTAAAAAACAAAAATGATTTTTTTTTAGGTATGATTTTCGTTCATTTTAAACAATCGTTATATAATTTAAAATTGGTAGAATTATAATAAAATAAAATACATATTATGATAATAAAGTAAGAAGTCGATGAACTTTAGGGAAAGAAAATAACCTTTGTTGTATAACGAGTCTGAACAACGAGACAAAAGAATTGGTTTTCGTTATTTTAAAAATTACTTTGTCATATCCTGTGGGCATTTAGAACTATTTAACGTTGAATAGAATAACTCAGGACAGGGAGGAAAAAAGTAATTAGTTACTTTTCTGATTTTTATAATTGCTTTCAATGAATTCAGAATGGAAAATTGCGAAATATAGTTGGACAGCGAGAAAAAAAATAGTGCTTGTTTTTCATTCAAAATGTTTTCACATTATGTCACATTTTTTCGATTAAAGTAATTATAAATAAATGAAGTCGGAATTTAATTGTATACATTGGTATTATAAATCCCAATGAGCAACACAAAAAATCACCTATGTATGTCTAAAAAGAAATTAAATTATTTGCAAATGTCGGCGATTTATTTTTTCTTCAAAACATTTAAAAATGTCTATTTTCAGTAATTGACTCTATCTAGGCGCAGACTTTCCATTTTGGTTAGGGAAGAGGATAGGTGATGGATTGATGAGTAAGAGATAAGTTTATCAACAGTGGAATTAATATCAAGATTACCTATTTTAAATACATTACAATTTTTCCTGATGTTTTGGGGACGGGGTGGCCGATAACAGAGATTTGAGATGATATAAAAAGTACAAGTTCGCGTCCCGGTGCCGGAGGGGATTTTAAACTCCCCGCCCTCTCCCCCCGGCTCGAGAAAATCCCGAGCCTAAAAGGCGAGGTAGGGAAGAACAAAAAAAAATTTTTTTTTCCTGATATAAGCTAATTAAGGCCCCAATTTCAACTTAAAATGGACCTTATGTGAGATTACGAAAGTCCATCAAAACAAAGGGAGATAACATTTCTGGAACATATTCGGCAATTCTTGGATTTTCATCAATGTTGGAGGGATACTTGTGATGTGGTATCTCTATTTTTATTTTGTATAGTTAATCAACTGCATTTACTTTGAAATCAAAGCTATTTTCAAACACACTTTTTATACATCTATTAAAACCTAACGTATAAGAGACAAGTACTGGAGTACTTGAACACCTTCAATACTGGAGTACTTGAACACCTTCAATACTGGAGTACTTGAACACCTTCAATACTGGAGTACTTGAACACCTTCAATACTGGAGTACTTGAACACCTTCAATACTGGAGTACTTGAACACCTTCAATACTCGAGTACTTGAACATCTTCAATACTGGAGTACTTGAACACCTTCAATACTCGAGTACTTGAACACCTTCAATACTCGAGTACTTGAACACCTTCAATACTGGAGTACTTGAACACCTTCAATACTGGAGTACTTGAATACCTTCAATACTGGAGTACTTGAACACCTTCAATACTGGAGTACTTGAACACCTTCAATACTGGAGTACTTGAACACCTTCAATACTGGAGTACTTGAACACCTTCAATACTGGAGTACTTGAACACCTTCAATACTCGAGTACTTGAACACCTTCAATACTGGAGTACTTGAACACCTTCAATACTGGAGTACTTGAACACCTTCAATACTGGAGTACTTGAATACCTTCAATACTGGAGTACTTGAACACCTTCAATACTGGAGTACTTGAACACCTTCAATACTGGAGTACTTGAACACCTTCAATACTCGAGTACTTGAACACCTTCAATACTGGAGTACTTGAACACCTTCAATACTGGAGTACTTGAACACCTTCAATACTCGAGTACTTGAACACCTTCAATACTGGAGTACTTGAACACCTTCAATACTGGAGTACTTAAACACCTTCAATACTGGAGACATACTCTGATAATGACAGCAACAATAAAATCTTAAAGTAACTGCGTCCTGACTATTTATTACCTAATATAAACGTATTAGCTTTGAATTATGCGCTACTGTCACAGTTTTCTCGGACATAACGCAGATTGGTATCTAATCCACCATCTTCAAAACCGACCATCCTAACCCTCGCCTTAACGGGTTCGGTCACTTCTTTGATAGATTGTATTAAGCTTATAATTAATGCA